TGGATGAATTAGTTTCCATGGTTGACCTCCAGTAAACTGTTAAATGGCGGTCTGTGCAAGTTTTTTGTCAAGTTCCTTCAGTCAAATGTCCAGCATGAAAAAAATACGTTTGTTACGCAACCTTTTACAGCGCGTATAAGAAAGCCCTTGGAAAAACATCTGCTCTAAATTTAGAGCACCACAAGAGTGCCAAATCCGTTTATTACAAAACCAAGATGACATCCGAAGTGCCATCTTCGTCTCTTCCATACAAACTCAATCAACAAAATCAGGCACAGAATCAGCACAAAATATGGTTGCTTAGGAAAATAGTAGATACGATCATTCTTTGTGGGAATCAAAAAATCCTCTCCGAGGACAAAGAAATGATACCACAGGTGATTCCTCAAACAAAGGTAATTTCCAGGTAATATTACAGGTGTTGGCAAAGCACGATAAGCAGCTCTGGTCTCATGTACCAACAGCAAAAAAGAATTCTTATATACCAGCAAAACTAATCAGAATGTAGTTGTCTAACTAATAGGAAATCACATCACAAATAAAAATTTGAAGGGCTTACAAGGCAGAGATTTTTTATCCACCATAGCCGATGATTGATTGATTGTATGTTGTTTAAGGTCCCTCTCGAGAATTTTTCACTCATATGGAGAGCATCTACTTGCTGGGGGAGAGCTTCAAATTTGTTCTACACTCGGCACTTAGGGCCATTGAGCAGTGAGGGATCTTTTTCATGCCATCATCTACTGCGACACAGGACCTCAGTTTATACGGTCTAATCCGAAGGACCGCACTTGGGATTCGAAACCGCGACGTAAGGATCAACTCCTTAATTCGCGACTCTAGAGCAGACGCTCAAACCACTGAGCCACGCGGGCGTCAGTCTTGCTTTGAAGATGCAAAATAAATTGCAAATGACCTTGATATAGTGATTAAAATCCCAAGACTTTGCTCCAAGCAGCAACACAAAGAAAATGATTCCATAAGTAATCCAAAAAATATTATAGATCTGTTGTGACCATTCCATTTTTTTGACTTTTGCCTCATTGAATATTCCACGTTTCAGGAAGAAGATCTGGTGGCATATTCGATATGCTCTTTGATGCCTGTCAATATGTCAAATCTTTCACACGAGAAGCTGTCAAAACTTGCCCCAGAACTACTATTATTTGGGGAACGACCTACCTTGTTTTTTTGTAAAGGACTTAGAGAAAGAACTCGGAGATTGGAGACGTAATTGTGTAAACTTTTGAAATGCTTTGCAATGTGCGCAATCTTTTCAAATTTGTAGATGGGAACGTGTTCCCGGACGTGAAAATTCTTCAAATTGAATCTGTTTTACCTATCACAACATGTGAGGCCGAAAAATCCCTTTCTGGATTAAGACGTATCAAGAGTTACATACGCAGTACTATGCAAGAGGACAAAGGAAATTGTACAATCATTTATCAGGCAAGGAAAACAAAGGTTATTACAGTTAAGTATCTTAAGCTTAATATCACTTCCTACCAGAAAACACAGAAAACATCAATACACAACAAAAAGGTCGTCCGCGTGATGCAGAGGTTGAACATATATCACGGGTTCGATTTCATGGAAAGTTTTGACCCATTCTCCTAGAAAAATATTATTGATCCTGGCCTGAAAGTGGGTCTGTTCCAAAATTACTGGGGTGTTTGAGAAAAATAATAAAGTTGGCATTCTGTCTGACGAAGAGGAAGCCACTTACAGAAAGATAGAAGAGGTCAACATAGAATTAGATCAAGAGAAGATTGGCATTATAACTGTCCCAGATATGATGTTTTGTGTAACACCTATGAAAGCCCATGGGGATACCACTGTAATGATGAATATCCCCTACAAATCAAGATTAGTGTGCCGAAGTTACCTCCTATCGCTGTAAAAGTAAAGACAATCCCAATTCAGGATCTTGACGAAAACGATTACCTGAAATGGGAAGGAAAGATAAAATCAGTTTTCACTGGCAAATTAAAAAAAAAAAGCATTCCATTATTTTTTTTCTCAGAGAAAAACAAGATAGTTCATATGGAGAAAGGTCTTCTTAAGGAGGATAAAGATAAGTTGACAGAACAAAGAAGACAGCTACTCAGAAGAAATTCTCGACAGGCAGTACACCCAAGACATATCGTGCTCAGAAGATACAAATATTCGCAGCTGTCTTCTAAAGTATGATGACTTTGTAAACTTCTAAAATGTATTTAATTTGGCTTCAGTTGTGAATGTACTTGTCAAAGGAGAGACGTTTAAATGACTGTACATGTATCAGGCTGATTCTTTCCAGTTTAAACTATATACGGCATGTTTTGTTTTTCTTTCTCCTGTATTTTATTATTGTTGAAAATTTTCGGGATGTGAATAATGCTGCTCAATGCTAACTAATTCCATACTTCATTCTTTGGCTTTTACAAAAAATTGCCACAAGCAAATCCATTCATCAGAACTAAGATTATATTCCTTGTCGAAGAGTCACAAGGAGTATAACAAGAGGCCCAAGGGCCACATCGCTCACCTGAGCACATCTACTAGGAAAAAGCACATATCAGACCAAAACTGAAAGTTTACAGGGGGGGGGGGGCTTGAATTTTAACCCTCCTGGGTGTCATGATTTGAACAATGTACAATCTACACTACCTGAGGATGATTCCATATAAATAGGAAAATATCACTAATTATGGCTTTGAAGTACATGAAAAGAAGTTTTTAAAAGGTTTCCCTATATATCCTTATGTACAAATTTGGTCAGCCATTTTGGGCCCAAAACTAGCCCCAGAGGTCATGATTTGAACAAGCTTGAATCTTCACTAACTGAGGATGATTCCACATAAGTTTCGTCTTTCCTGGCCCAAAGGTTCTTGAGAAGAAGATTTTTAAAGTTTTTCCTATATATTCCTATTAAAACTTTGGTCGGCCATTTTGGCCCCACCCTAGCCCCAGGGGTCATGATTTGAACAAACTTGAATCTGCACTACCTGAGGATAATTTCATCTAAGTTTCATATTTCCTTTCTCAATGATTCTTAAGAAGAATATTTTTAAAAGATTTTTCCTATATATTCCTATGTAAAACTTTGGTTGGCCATTTTGGCCCCACCCTAGCCCCGGGGGTCATGATTTGAACAAACTTGAATCCACACTACCTGAGGATGATTCCACATGAGTTTCATCTTTCCTGACCCAGTGGTTCTTAAGAAGAAGATTTTTAAAGATTTTTCCTATATATTCCTATGTAAAACTTTGGTCGGCCATTTTGGCCCCGCCCTAGCCCCGGGGGTCATGATTTGAACAAACTTGAATCCACACTACCTGAGGATGATTCCACATGAGTTTCATCTTTCCTGGCCCAGTGGTTCTTAAGAAGAAGATTTTTCCTATATATTCCTATGTAAAACACTTTGGTCGGCCATTTTGGCCCCGCCCTAGCCCCGGGGGTCATGATTTGAACAAACTTGAATCTACACTACCTGAGGATGATTCCACATGAGTTTCATCTTTCCTGGCCCAGTGGTTCTTAAGAAGAAGATTTTTAAAGATTTTTCCTATATATTCCTATGTAAAACTTTGGTCGGCCATTTTGGCCCCACCCTAGCCCCGGGGGTCATGATTTGAACAAACTTGAATCCACACTACCTGAGGATGATTCCACATGAGTTTCATCTTTCCCGACCCAGTGGTTCTTAAGAAGAAGATTTTTAAAGATTTTTCCTATAAATTCCTATGTAAAACTTTGGTCGGCCATTTTGGCCCCGCCCTAGCCCCGGGGGTCATGATTTGAACAAACTTGAATCCACACTACCTGAGGATGATTCCACATGAGTTTCATCTTTCCTGGCCCAGTGGTTCTTAAGAAGAAGATTTTTCCTATATATTCCTATGTAAAACACTTTGGTCGGCCATTTTGGCCCCGCCCTAGCCCCGGGGGTCATGATTTGAACAAACTTGAATCTACACTACCTGAGGATGATTCCACATGAGTTTCATCTTTCCTGGCCCAGTGGTTCTTAAGAAGAAGATTTTTAAAGATTTTTCCTATATATTCCTATGTAAAACTTTGGTCGGCCATTTTGGCCCCAACCCGGCCCCGGGGGTCATGATTTGAACAAACTTGAATCTACACTGAGTTTCATCTTTCCTGGCCCAGTGGTTCTTGATTAAATGCTATTAATTTTTCACTAAATCATAATTATCTCCCCTTGGAAGAGGGCGTGGCCTAGGGGTGCAACGATACGCCTACCCCACGATACGATACGTATCACGGTATTCAGTTCACGGTTCGATACGTATCGCGATACATGACATATTGGGTTAAAAAGTCAGACGTTTGTCATCATATGCTTAAAACTCAAAAGTTTTATCAAATGCTCATTACGCTTACTCTAGGAAAGTGATAACATCCTTCGATCCGTTGAATATGAGACTGGAAACAAGTTTATTTGCCGTTTCTGCAGTTTCATTGACCTCATGTTTCGTGCGGAAGCCATTTTGAAATTGTAAATGACGAACCAAAACGGACGAATCGGATAATTACGGACCGATTGAACCGAACCGTGGTATCAGTTTCACGTATCGTGAACCGAACCGTGGAAAAATAAACCGCGGTATACCGACAAACGGTTTATCGTTGCACTCTTAGCGTGGCCCTTCATTTGTACAATCTTGAATCCCCTTCACCCAAGGATACTTTGTGCCAAGTTTGGTTGAAATTGGCCCAGTGGTTCTTGAGAAGAAGATGAAAATGTGAAAAGTTTACGACAACGACAACGCCAACGACAACGACAGACGACGGACAAATTTTGATCAGAAAAGCTCACTTGAGCCTTCGGCTCAGGTGAGCTAAAAAGTATAGATCCTTTCAGATAAAATCTTAGTAATACTCCATTTGATAATTGACAGTAGTTTTAACAATTTTTAGCCAGCCTCTTGAAACACATTCCTATTACATGAACTCAACATCAAAAGAAATTGATTCACGATAAAAACTCAAAATTGGCGAAGCCCGCTATGCAGAAATTATCCCATCTTTCCGATATCGTTGATGTCCCTGGCATACTCTACTAACTAAAGTGAGTCCTTATATTTCCATTTCTCCATATAATCAATAGAGCCCCACCCTAACACCAGAACCCCTGAACCTCAGACCATAAAATTCATAATTTTGGTAGAGGCACTCTTGCTCATCATAACTATGCACAAAGTTAATATCCAGGAGCAGAAAAGAAGATTTTCAAAGAAATAATGCATTTTCACTATATAAGCAAAAAAGCCCCACCCTAACACCAGAACTCCTGACCCTAGGGCCATCAAATCTATAATTTTGGTAGAGGCATTCTCTTGCTCATCATAACTATATACTCCATTGGTTTATTTAATACCTAGGAGCAGAGATTTTCAAAGAATTAATGCATTTTCCCTATATAATCAATAGAGCCCCAACCTAAAATCAAAACCCCTGATCCCGGGGCCAAAACATCAAGTTGTGATGCACGTCAACCGACGAAAATGGATAGCAATAGGTCACCTGAGTGACTCTCATCAATATGTACATGTAACAGCATATGAAGTTTGATGAAAATATTTAAATACTTTCTTTGAATCTCAGCTTTGAGCTGAGCTAACTGCAAAGTGTGACGGAAGGACAGAAGATGGACATAACAAACACTATCTGCCCTGGTCATATTCATGACGGGACATAAAAATTATTCTTAGCAATCCACAATTTGATACCTATCCTATTATTCTACACTTTTGCTTAAGGACAAAACTAATTCCATAGCAGGAACTATTTTAAGCCAAAGTTCAAGTGTTATTAATCTCAAGTCTGTAAAAGCAACAGGAGTCCATAATACATGCAGGAAACGAAATTGATAACTGGAGTTATATTGGGTAAGTAGGAAATTTAACATTTTGACAGAATTTGATTCAGTAAGAAATTTCCATATTTCCTATGCAGAGTTATAACTGAGATATGTACAATATTATATTCATTTGTCAAATTAGAATCGTAGATGTCTGAGCTTGACCCCCCAATACCTATCCAGAGGAAGCTCCTTGAGGTAAAATCTGTGACTTCACACTAGCTTACACATTCACAGAAAGGAATATACGCCACTGAAAATGGACTCCATTAGAAGCTCACAAATGTAAGTTTTCATGACAAGAATTTATAACACTAAAAACAATTCCTAATTCATCTGAATCAGTGTAATCAGTTTATTTTGTTGACAGTAAAATTGGTTTTCACTTTTAACACCACTGAATTTAAAACATATAATATATATCCTAGACACTTTTAGTTATAAATTTCACTATTCAAAAAAAAAGAATGATTTAGTTGAGTTGAAAAATAACTGATACAGTTGAAGAAGTATTTTTTATTTTATGATTTTTGAATGTAAAAATTATCAATAACGATAATTATATTATGAATTTTCAAAAGTGAAACATTCATTATACAAGAATATAAATTCCACTTTAAGCATTCTCAGAACTGAAGGCATACAACACATATCAGAGTCGGTGTTTGTGGGACTGTGTCGTAAAGTGGGGACCTCACAACTGGTGGCCATGAGGAGAGATGTGGTGGACATCTGGGAGATGGTGAAAAATCAAGTGACAACAAGTGATGAGGACAGTACGATGGTGAGTGGAAGTTATGGAGAAGGACTAAGACTGGAAGGATCAGATGTAGACTTTATGTACTGGCCAAATAATGTCCGTGTGATCTGGGAATCATCTCAGTCTCAGTATAACAACACACACAGACTAACACTAATCCTCTGTGACTGTTCTGATAGTCCACCAGGATTTACTTTGTTATATTTACTGTCACCAAGAACGAACAGATTCATCCATAGAGTGTGTGTTAGAATGAATAACAGATATTACGTATCTAGTTCTAAATACAGACAGATCACTTTATCTGAGTCATTATTTTAGAATTTAGAATATTTATTCAACCAATTTGGGCCCACAGTGGAGCATACAGAACAGTGTCCAAAATCATCACAGTTATACATATACAAAACAGAACAAAACAAACATTGTATAATGAACAGAGAGTTAGTTATCTTCTTTTAGGATGTATAGAATGTACATTATAAGTGGCCTATGTATAATATCTGCAATATGCCTATATTGAACTATGTTGTTTTCTCTTATTAAAATTTGCATTTAAAAGTTGGCATAATAAAACAACAAACTCAGAATCTTCATTTGACATAATCCATGTAAACAGGTCAACATTGTTAAGCAGTATCAAATTAGGAAAGGTTTTAAAGATTTTATCTAAAAACTCTCTTCTTGAGTCATTATAAAGTGAACATTCTAGCAAAAAATGCAATTCATCCTCAGTTGGACTTGAGGTGCAGTAACGACAGATTCTCTCACACCTGGGAATAATTTCATTTTTACCACATTTATTAATTTTCCTTTCATATCTACCCGTTTCCACCCTTAAACAATGATTACTAATTCTGAATTTTGTGAGAATTACCCGATTGTCTCGGTTTTTCATATTCAAGTATTTTTCAAAATAAAAAGACCTTTTATACTTAAAATATGTATTTAATTTACCAAAGCCTTCCAAATAATTGGTACGAATATCGTTCCAAATGTTTAAAAAACTATTACTGAGTTGTCTTTTCATGTACAATTTAAATTTGTTTTCACTTAGTTTTTTACAAAGGGACAAATTAATATTAAGTTTTTCACTGTAGAATAATATACTGGAGTACCAATCACTGTTGATGATGTTTGATTTGCACTCATTGAGAGCTGCTTTCAGTAGGTTAGATGATGTATGTTCTAGTCTATACCAGTACATGAATATTTGCTTTAACATGTCTATATATAATGGGTACCTCCCTAGTTCAGAATAGATTCCTACATTATCACCTCATAACCTTACTCCACATGGACCCTGTGTCAGTGGAACATTTATAACAGTGGAATATGATCATGCCCACTGTTTTGTTAGTGACTTTTGGCCTCCCTCTGCCTCCTCATGGATAGACAGATGTCACTCATGGCCCCATCCTCATGTTGTTGATGATATAGTAAAAAATGGATGCCACTTTGTAGCAATTGGACATAAGCTAGGAAATTATGAAGATCATGAATGGAGAATTTCTTTCTCCCAAGCAGAACAAAAACTTGTCTCTGTAATGAATCACTGTCAGTTCTTAACTTACGGCTTACTTAAATTGTTCTTATCAGAAATAATTAACAATGGAGTAGGTGATGATGATAAATTACTGTGTTCCTATCACATGAAGACGGCAGTTTTCTGGGTGATTCAACAAAATACAATACCTCATTGGTGTCCACAAAATCTCCTGGAGGGTTTCTGGGTCTGTTTTAAACTCATCCTCAAATGGGTGTATGAGGGGGTCTGTCCTAACTTTTTCATTCCAGGCAACAACATGTTTCTGAGTAAAATTCATGGCATCAAACAACATCAATTATATAGAAGACTGTCAGAGTTGTATGAAAAGGGTTTAGCATTCCTGCTACATAGTCCCTCCATTAGATCTTGTATTATAGATGTCCTCTATAACCCCAGAAACTCCATCTGTACAGATGATCATACTCTGATTTCTGAGGATGGGTTTGATAGAAATCTATTTGTTGAAATAACATATCCTTGCGTAATACCAGGCAAATTTAACATACAAAGCTGCATTAGGTATTTACAAACAATAGAACAGATTAAAAGTTCACCCCTCCTGACACAGTATCAAGTCATTATGCTACAGAACATGACTGCTAGGATCCTTCAGTACACTGCTTTTATATTACACATGGAAACTTACACACCTGACAACAAACTGAGTTATAGAGCTGACAAAATCTCCTGTCACATGCTGAAATTAACAGCCCAGTTTGGTTTTATTACTGACATGATGTTCTTAGCCATGTATTATTACAAGACACTTAGATACACGGAAGCTTTATCTATTATACAGATGATCAAGGTCAAGCTATTACAGCCATATGTGATGTATACGGGTAGTGTAGATAGAGAGATGTATACTGAGGCTGTAGGGGGACAGTCCTGGTCTACAAAGATGAGACAGGCTGTAGCATGGGATATCACACTTGACAGTAGATTCCATTACATCAGTGAACTGATACCAGAACAACAGTCTGCTCTACAGAACCACTGGTCTTTATTATTTGTACCACCCTTTATCCTGTTATACATGCTTGAGATTTTGTGCTACAGACATGTAGACACAATGCGAGCACAAACAGCTCTAGATGATCTACAGACCCTAGTTCACTATGATCAGGGACAGTATATACCTTTACGTCACAGACACAGCTCGTATGTACGGCTTATAGAATTAAAATACAGAGACATATCGTGGCAGATTCTTGGGATCTGTCAACAGGTGACAGGGAACCTCCAGGCTGCTCTATACTCATACCAACAATCTCTCAGACAAGAGCCATTCAACCACATACAAACAGCTACAGAAATGAGAATACAGAGAGTTTGTCAATGGATTCCCTTAATTAATTAAATGTCAGATGATATTTGTAGGAGTTCACCTGATAGAGATTTATCATTTACATATCCTCTTCTGATTTCATATTTTCTTTTCTGTCTGTTTTATTACATGTATTACAAAGCAAATAACTAGTCTATTAAAATACAAGAGGCCCATGGGCCACATCGCTCACCTGAGCACCAAGGGTAGGACTAGTATAAAATGGCTTTTTATTGTAAAGTTTAAATCCAAAAGTAGTCCCATGACCAATCATGGATTTGCTATTTTTTAGAAAATGATTGAGAAGAAGATTTTTAAAGAATTTTCCTATATATTTCTATGTAAAACTTTGGTCGGCCATTTTGCCCCCCCCCCTACCCCCAGGGGTCATGATTTGAACAAAATTGAATCTACACTACCTGAACATGCTTCCATATAAATATGATGAATTATGGCTTTGTCATTCTTGAGAAGAAGATTTTTAAAGAATTTTCCTATATATATCTCTATGTAAAACCTTGGTCGGCCATTTTGGCCCCGCCCTACCCCCGGGGGTCATGATTTGAACAAACTTGAATCTAAACTACCTGAGCATGCTTCCATATAAATATGATGAATTATGGCTTTGTCATTCTTGAGAAGAAGATTTTTAAGGAATTTTCCTATATATTTCTATGTAAAACATTGGTCGGCCATTTTGGCCCCGCCCTACCCCCCGGGGTCATGATTTGAACAAACATGAATCTACACTACCTGAGCATGCTTCCATATAAATATGATGAATTATGGCTTTGTCATTCTTGAGAAGAAGATTTTAAAAGAATTTTCCTATATATTTCTATGTAAAACCTTGGTCGGCCATTTTGGCCCCGCCCTACCCCCGGGGGTCATGATTTAAACAAACTTGAATCTACACTACCTGAGCATGATTCCATATAAATATGATGAATTATGGCTTTGTCATTCTTGAGAAAAAGATTTTTAAGAATTTTGCTATATATTTCTATGTAAAACCTTGGTCGGCCATTTTGGCCCCGCCCTACCCCCGGAGGTCATGATTTGAACAAACTTGAATCTACACTACCTGAGCATGCTTCCATATATATATGATGAATTATGGCTTTGTCATTCTTGAGAAGAAGATTTTTAAAGAATTTTCCTATATATTTCTATGTAAAACTTTGGTCGGCCATTTTGGCCCCGCTCTACCCCCGGGGGTCATGATTTGAACAAACTTGAATCTACACTACCTGAACATACTTCCATATAAATATGATGAATTATGGCTTTGTCATTCTTGAGGAGAAGATTTTTAAAGAATTTTCCTATATATTTCTATGTAAAACATTGGTCGGTCATTTTGGCCCCGCCCTACCCCCGGGGGTCATGATTTGAACAAACATGAATCTACACTACCTGAGCATGCTTCCATATAAATATGATGAATTATGGCTTTGTCATTCTTGAGAAGAAGATTTTTAAAGAATTTTCCTATATATTTCTATGTAAAACTTTGGTCGGCCATTTTGGCCCCGCCCTACCCCCAGGGGTCATGATTTAAACAAACTTAAATCTACACTAACTGAGCATGTTTCCATATAAATATGATGAATTATGGCTTTGTCATTCTTGAGAAGAAGATTTTTAAAGAATTTTCCTATATATTTCTATGTAAAACTTTGGTCGGCCATTTTGGCCCCGCCCAACCCATGGGGGTCATGATTTGAACAAACTTGAATCTACACTACCTGAGGATGTTTCCCAATAAGTTTCATCTTTCCTGGCACAGTGGTTCTTGAGAAGAAGATTTTTAAAATATACCACTAAATTTTCATTAATTCCCAATTATCTCCCCTTGAATAAGGGCGTGGCCCTTCATTTGAACAAACTTGAATCCCCTTCACCTAAGGATACTTTGTGGCAAGTTTGGTTGATATTGGCCCAGCGGTTCTTGAGAAGAAGTCGAAAATGTGAAAAGTTTACAGACAGACAGACGGACAGACAGACGGACGCCGGACAAAATGTGATCAGAAAAGCTCACTTAAGCCTTCGGCTCAGGTGAGCTAAAAATGTTACATGCATTTAGATTTGCCTTATATTCTGTTGTACTTTCTTTGCACATTCTGAAATGTAATAAATGAATTTACTGCATGCTTGAAAAACTCTTGTTTGTCTGATTGGCTGAAATTTAAAAGAGCAGACGGGGCCATAGGGAGTAATGTTATAAAATTTCATTGCTAAAGCTTAAAAGCTTCTTGAGATATCGCTCGGACATGAAAGTTTTACACACACATAATGTATGACATTACGACCTTGAACTTCGACCTTTTGACCCCAAAATCAATATGGGTCTTCCGTTGCCATAGGAGATGTTTAAATCTGAAAGGCTTCTCGAGAAGTAGCGCAGAAAGTATAGTGATAAAATTTATGACCTTTAACTTTGACCTAAAAATCAGTAGGCTTCTTCCTTAGGCCGAGTAGGTGTACGAGTGCCGAGTACACTCAGAGGAAAATCTGCAGCTCTCCCCCGGCAAGTAGTGGCTTCTCCATGGGACGTTAAACAACAAACAAACAAATAAACAAAATTTTTTTTATTTCATGACATGTTAGGAGGATACATTTATTTCTATTAAGAATAGTTTGCTTGAAGTACTAAATGTCTTGAGCTCAGGCGACAATGTCTACTGGTATGGATTTTATTTAATTAAGTACGCCTTGCTTTTAGAATCATACATAAATTCATAATGCATCATCGGAAATTTGCAGAAATTTGGTGCAGGCGCTCATGTAAAACTTGAAGTGAAATGAGAAGGAATTGCAAAACCGTGACTCCAGAAAATACGGTACAGTGCCTTTTTTTTCTTTTCATAAACGTGGACAAAGCTCGTGCTACACTTGTATAAATAATAAAATATATATTGTGCTAAAGGCAAGACGTCATATATCACTTGAAAGTGCAAAAAAGTCATTTGTGAAACTGAAGATGGACTGGTGTTCCAGAGTTTTAGTAACCATCCGGGGCTCCACGTTTCCGGTAATCAGCATTGGCTGTTATATTTCCTTCCTCTAACTGCAGTATGCCCTGGACTTTAGACCCGGAAGTACGTGATATAGATATATTGTGACCAAGTTGTTCTAAACCGTTGACTATAAGCTGAAATAGAAAACAATTTTTTGATAAGAAATGTACTTATGTCACTTTTAGGGGAGAGTGTATTTAATCCTTAAATAACCCAATCAATTCGTATTGTTATTGATATGAAATAGCAAATATATAGCTTATTAAAAAGGATTTTTTTTTTAAACACAAGCCAGGAAAATCTCTTTTTTTTCGGAATTCTTTGTTTAACAGCAATTTACCTATCAACCGCGTGGCGCTGTTAATACATGTATTCTCTAGGGTCGCGGGGTAAGGAGTTGATCCTTACATCGCGGGATTAACGAGGTTGGCTCCTCATATTTCAAGTCTTAAACTTTTTTGTCAAGTATATTTTTAGTTTCTACCTAGTTAGCTTAGTTAAAAATCAAATCAAAAAATGGGAGTCAATATGCCACTTTTGGCGGTAAAGTATATTTGATATGACCTTTTTGCACTGAAATTTTTGTGTCTGAATCAAAAATTACGTCTGCGATGTTTTCCCATATTTTTATCCAAATAAAGCATGGAAAAAATAAACTATAATTTTATTCAAATAAAGACACTTCCAAATTGTGACTAAGAAAAAGTTTCGAATTACTTCGCATAATCAATTTTTGGACCTTTCTGCATTCTGAAATGTGATTTTTGTGGCATTGAAAACTTAATAAGCAAAAAGATTATTTAAAGTCTTAAACTTTTGCTGAATTCTAGAAGATAGGTTAAAGTTAACTTAAATATTCAGAAAAGGACATCAAAAGTGGGGGTATATGATGTAAATTTTTAAATATTACTAAAAAAGTGTCAATTTTATGTTAAAATTGGCTCAATTTTTTCCTGGCTTTTCAGAATATACGTGTATTTTCTATTTTTGTAAAAATTTCTTGAAAGAACTCATAAGAAATAATTTAATAGATTTTTCAGAACCAGCATACATGTAACACATTTCACTGCAAAAAACATCATTGTATGCAACCAGCATGGAAAGACAGAAATCTAAGATTAACAGTACTGTATATACAGTCAAACTTCGTTATCTCGAACCTGATGGGACTGAGAAAAAACATCGAGATATCCGCGGATTCGAGATATCGAAGGTTAAATACTTAAAGAATATATGGTGGGGACTTCGGATCACTTCGACATATCCATGGTATTTGAGATATCGGAGTTCCAGATACTGAAGTTCAACTGTAGTTCAAAAGGGAAAAAATTATTTTCTACTAAAAAAATCCTTCCGCCACAAAATATAGTTCCTGGCTTAATCCCACTTGAATGGAATTTAATCGCGTTTTTTCAATGAATATAGTTCATTTTGCATTGTAGAAGGCAGACTAAATTTAGAATTTAAAAATGGTGCAGAGTTTAAGAAATAAGGGTCTAGACCAAAATCTGCGCAAAAGCTCGGGATCGAACCTCGTTTAATCCCACTGCAGTACATGTACGTTAAACCGATAGAGACCGTACAAACCCAGGTTCTGTGTCGCAGTATTCATGTGCTGGCACGAAAAAAGATCCCTTACTGCTTAGTGGCTCCCAGAGTCGAAATAGCTCTAAATTCGCAGCTCTCCACCAACAGGTGGTGGCGTCTTGATTTGAGTACATACATGTACAAGTAGCAAACAAAGAGGATTTTACCAGTACTCTCTGTTTAATAAAACTGAATCAGTGAGGAATAATTTTTTTTTTGATATTTGAACATGAGATATATTCTACAGAGACAGAGACCTTGTACGTCGTATACTTCATCTTGTTAGTTTACAAACGTAATAGAAACGTAATATGAAATGTTTATTCATCAAACAAAATTTACTATTCAAATAAGTATACTAGTTGAAATATTTGGTTCTCCAAATACTTTTTTTGTGAATCTGAAATATCACTTATGATATAACATACCTGATCAAATCCTCTCTCTACCTTTATATGGGGTGGAAACAGCTGATGATGTAGACGTTTATGGTCTATTGATTTCTTTATACCATACTTAAACCAAAGGGTTTCAATTGTCACCTAGTAATATAAATGAGGTCACTTTTTATTTCATTAATTTGAAGAAGAAAAAATTTAACACAGGGCTTACCCTGATAGGTAAAGTATTAAAAGTATTTAGACGAAAATCGAATATTTTGTGCATGACTTCCTTTAACTTAACAGCGTACTTGCTACAATAAACCTTACACTGGTGAAGAAAAGTATAGCCTTAGCATGTCTTCATTTCAACGAAAATCGGTTTTCCCCAAAAATAAACGATACATCATGTACAGCATAGGTAGAGAAGCTAACAGTGGGTACAAAATGGATGCAGATAATCTCAAAGAGATTTGTCGAGACTAAAATCTTTGCACTGACTGCTCTTCGAATCTTAGACCAATGCCAATGATTAGAGAAATTTTAAAATTCCTGCCAGCTTCCAATTTTCGCTTTGGAAATTTATTCAAACATCCAACCCCGAAGAGTTCCAGTCAAGGTCAGTTTATTTCAAATACTTTGAACTATAAAGGACAAAAATAATGTCTAGACAAACATTTTACTAGACGTCTTCAAATTACAGAAATCTTCATAATACAAAACATTTACCATGAAACTGATATGAAAACATAAAAAGAAAAAAAAAACTGAAAGAAACTTCGGCGTCGGAATTTTAAATGAAGAGTATGGAGGTAACGAACAGTATTCAATATCAAAGTCCATAAAACAATACAAAATAGGAGCAGAGCAAACACGGACCTCCAAAACATCAGAGGTGGGATCAGGTGCCATTGAGGAGTGAGCAGAAAATAACGGAATAATCTGTCAATTGTGTATAAAAAATGGACTTAGAATTAATATGAAAAACATCAGTCAGCACTTGACTCAATGATAAATTGTATTTGCTAACAAGGCCGTTGTATCGACCATAGAACATACGATATTATGACTTTAAACGATACTGCTGATATTCTTGTTTCATCAACGTGTTTGACAATAATTTACCTCGTTTTAGAAATTGTTCATACATATAGCAAGCTCTTTTGTATCGAATCAACTGAGATATATAAACTCCGTACGCAGGTGATGAAGATATATTGCTGCATAAGTAAGGGGTGTTGACAATAGTAAAGTTAAGGTCATCACGTTTATAATAGAGCTTGGTTGTTAGATTACCATTAACATCTTTTTCAAGTAAAATATCGAAGTATGAAAAAGATATTTCAGACTCTGTGGTATCTGCTATACATCAAGCTCACCAGGATAATTATACTCAGTATCGTAATGACAAAAAATAGAAATTACTATTGTTGATTGACAATACGGCGTCGATATATCTAAATGTCGAGCAAATATGAAAAGGAGATTAAGGTAGAAGTGATTGGACGACAGGGGATGCTTAATTCTCCTGCACCTGGTCCCATCTCTTATGAACAATCCTAACATTTCTAATCAAAACCTTTCGTGTTATCAGTTATCATTAGACTTACAAGGTGCAAGGTGTGTAAAAATATTGGCATCCGTGGTTTCGGCATACTGCTTCCATGTTTATTTTCATGCATGAACACATTCGATTACATTGAGCACGACTCCATCAGGATAGCCTTTTAATATTGGACATTATTAAAAACAATGATTTCTATAGAAGGATATGGAGATAACGAACAGTATTCAATATCAAAGTCCATAAAACAATACAAAATAGGAGCACAGCAAACACGGAACTCCGAAACATCAGAGGTGGGATCAGGAGCCATGGAGGAGTGAGCATCCCCTGCTGACCGGTCACACCCACCGTATGGTCCTTGTCATGATCGGAAAATAACAGAAAAATCAATTCAGTGTATAAATAATGGACTAACAGTTAGTATAAAAAACGTCAGTCAGCATTTGACTCAATGATAAATTGTATTTGCTAACAAGGCCGTTGTATCGACCATAGAACATACGAAATGATGACTTTAAACGAGACTGCTGATATTCTTGTTTCATCAACGTGTTTGTCAAGGATTTACCTCGTTTTAGAAATTGTTCATACATAGAACATGCTCTTGTGTATCGAATCAACTGAGATATATAAACTCCGTGTGAAGGTAAATGTATATTGCTGCATAAGTAAGGGAAGATGACGATAGAAAAGTAAAATTCACCACGTTTATCATATAGCTTGGTTGTTAGATAGACCATGAAATGGGTATTCAACTGGATTTCTACAGGATTGTCATGAAAAGAGAACACTCACCAATGCTGTGGCCGATATAATTCTTGGTCCCCCTGAAGCTCCCAGCACCAGTTTCACATGTCCATCTGCATCCACTATTATGCTTGGGCACATTGAAGATAACGGTCTTTTACCGGGCTTAATGAAGTTGGCAGGCGATGCTGGGTATCCGAAATAGCTGACCGTGTTAGGCGTGGAGAAATCGTCCATGTTATTGTTAAAAATTATGCCTGTTCTACTTCCGACAACTTTTGAACCAAAACTGAATAAAATTAATTACACTGTAATTAATTATGAAAGATAATAACTAACCAATATTCCAATAGATATTTAGTTTGAAAATGATTTAATAGAACTCACAATAAGTTAATTGTACTTGTGACAGAGACGGCGTCGCCATTAGGCGCCAGGAGGGATAATTGGGAAGTTCCCATGTTTGCGGAGTCGTGGTAGGTCGGACCATAGTGTGTCGTATCCTGTGTAGTGCTATCCGAAATTTTTGATTTAACATACTCAGCATAAGACGATGATGTCATATTATATATCATCTGAAAGAAACAATGAGTTGAGTTTATTTGATACATTCGGCACGGGAATGGATTCTTGAAATAACATCCTATACACAAATATGATTACTAGTACTGGTATTCATAACAATTTCGACTTAAATATTATTGAGGTAAGTTACGAAAACTTAAATATTGCGCCAAAAAATTCTTCTAATCAGGTCGTTATCAGTCAGTTTCAAATAAATTGTTTATTTTATGGAGAGGACATAGATCTCACTGAATTAATGGTATCTTTAAAGCTCTGACTCTCCTGATCCGGATCTCCAAGATTGCTTCTTTTTGCGTAAGCAAACTTCATGATTTCAACAATGCGGTGCCATGTGAGAATAGATTTTTCTGGGGTAGATACACTGTCAGGCGTAAATCCATATTCTGTTTAAATAAATCAATTGAAAAGCTAGTTGGTTTGGAAGTGAGAAGGAAAAAAAATTAGGTTATCATCGTCTATCGATGACCGGTTCAATACATACAGTAGCAAACAAATTTAGCTTACTATCTGCGATGTTAAGAATCATAGCGAAAACTGCACCACTGGAAGGTGGTGGTGGAGTGAATATTGTTGTATTGTCTGTCAGTTTTACCACTAATGGTTCCTTTACCACTGCCTCGTAGTTTTGTAAGTCTTGTTCTGTTATAATTCCGCCTGTAAAAAGAGAGAACTTGCATCTTATTTGAGTTTTTAAAGGGCACTGGCGGATTTAGAGGGGAGCCAGGGGGCTCGCCCCCCTTTTTAAAAAATCAACAATATTTGATAAATCAATTTTTTTTTATGTGGCTGTGGGCCCCTACCCTGACCTCAAACTGGTTGCCCCCCCCCCCTTTTCAAAATTTTTGGATCCTTCACTGAAAGGGTAAGATGGCAATGCATACATGTGTATAAAATCAGCATGATAAATATCTTGGAGTGAAACATATGTAGATAACGAACAGTATTCGAGATCATTAAAATCAAGATCTATTTAAGGGTCCATCTTGTCTGCAATAGAAAAAGGCGGCTTTTGCATAGACTGATTTACTAACCAGCTTCCCGAATATCAGCGACAATGTCTTTAGCCATCGAACCATTATACATGGTGTGTGAATCATTTGCAATCGCTTCATATGTATTGGCTAAAGCAGGCATTTTGATTATCTCGCCTTCTGTATAGACTTCATTTGTTTCAGGATTTGTTACCATTAGTCTAGCAAACAAAGATGGAAAAAATACGTCATAAACATAGACAAATAGAAAAATCAATTTGTTTCTTGTGGTTGTGATATAACATCAATAATTTGTTTCGTTTGCTGTGCATCAAGAAGATGCTTTCTTTCACCAAGATAACATTTTGCGCACTTATTACATATTTTCATACTTCATGGTACATGTAAGTATATACAGTGATATATACATAATATATAAATATATTTGCGCAATTGGCAGAGTATTCTAATTGAAGAGATGTCCATCATGCGAGAAGATTACCATTGTCTTTTTACGAAAAATTATACAAGGAAAGACGTTTGTAAGTATATGATCTTCAGATCCTAGTAAATCTTTTAAAATATAGTTGTTCGCTGTTATAAGATTGAAGTTACCTTAAATTACTTTGTTTTTCAAGAATGCCTGATTCTGTTAATTTACGCATGGCTCTTGCCAAGAGGAAATTCACCGTCCATCCCTCACGAAGCATTTTGATGGCCGGCTGAAATAGGTCCCTCCAGGGGAGTTTTCCACCAATTTTCCAGACTTCATAAAAACCTTTAATGTTACCAGGTATTCCAATTGCCAACCCTCCTGAATTCAGTAAAATGTAGAATGAGAAAAAAACAATATACGAGGGGCGTTCAATAAATAATGTCATCAGCTCCATGACATACAACATAGAAATCATATGGCATTAAGCTTGACTTTTTCTAATTATTGAATCTTTAATGAATTGATAACAGTTTATGTGACCACTTTTCATCGCATAATTTCATTGTGGGAAGCTGGAAAACAAGGGCTACTCGAGACACTGCGTTAAAAATGAATGGTCAAGAATCAGTAAATTAGAGTAAAATTGAACGCGTCATTAAAGCTGCTGTAAAACTTGTTAATTTCCCAACAATATATTAACTGAAATATGTGAAATTTACAGCAACTTATGTCTGTTTCAAACACACATGAACTGGTGGATTTCAATTAACAAAAATTATATAATGGTCATCAAAAATGGGTACCCTCCTTGTCAACAAGGACTTACCTCATCCAATGTATATTAGCGATAATTCAACAAATTATCACAGATTTATGTTTTATTGACTTTAAGTTACATAGCAAATTTGATAGACATCATATCGGGGGTAGTTCACACTGTTTTAAAGAAACATTTGATTGTAAAAAAGTTTAATACTCAAATGTCACCTTATATTTATAAATATGAGTGAAAACGAGAGCGTGTAGAAAATCTAAACAATTATTTTTAAAAAATCAAAAATTGTTCTTATCCACGTTTTTCTGAAATTCAAACAGATCATGAAACTTGAATCCATTTTGCGTTGAACCCTCAAAACAAATTTAGAATAAGAAGCCCTTGACAAAACTGCAATTAAGCCTAAGAAGAGCAAAAATTTGCAAGAACACAAAAACAGTTTTATACGCTATTGTCTTAAATATTAGCGGTCTTGTTGTTCAGATACATATATAGGGAGGTAGTTCAATTTCTGGAGGAGTCTAGTAAGCAAAATATTTGCCAAAAAATTGAAAGGTTTATGAGAGGAAGGAAACAGAATGAGAAATTCACTACATTAAATGTCTTCCTGACAGCGTCCAAACCCACAGGCCATGAAGAGTAAAGGAGTTTTGGGGTAAACAGAAAGTTAATGTTTTGTCACATCAACGATATTCACCAGATCTTTCAATCTTTGACTTGTTTCATTTCCCAAACTTAGGAAAACACCTATCAGAAAGAAAAAAACAAGCACATCAAATCATAGGATCTGCCATTTTCCAGTATACGAAGGGTCATACTCAAAACTGTGTTCTAAAAACAATTAGAAATTGAATAAAAATGTTATGGACATGTCTTTTAATTAAAAGAGAATATTTTAGTTAAATCATTAAGACAAAATCATAGAAAAGCGATTTTTGTTCCTTTCCGAACCCTGATGACATTATTTATTGAACGCCCCTCGTATGTTTGTGGAACACTGATGCCCCTTATTGCGCCTTTTGGCAAAGGTTAAACTTTCTCAAATGCAAGCCAAACAACATGGTCAAGGTCAAACGATTAAAACTCTTTCTCAAGAAAGGACTTGTCTAAATGAATATACCCGTGAGATATAAAAACCCAAGCACCAACCATTTAAAGGTTGTGGTTAAAAAATATTATTTGTGAGCCCAGGTCAAAACATAAAAAAAGTTGGTATTCAGGGGAAGAATTTTTCATCTGAAATATTAAATCCACAAAATCTGTTCAAAAGTTTTGACCAAGGTAAGAGTTTTTAAAAACAAGGTCAAACTCAAAGGTAAAGGTCAAAATATTTAAATCCTTTGGAAATGACTTGTAAAAATGAATACAGATGCAATGTGCGAAAGCCTCCGCACTAACTGTTCAAAAGTGGGTCATATTACAAGGTCAAGAGCTCACATGTGATATTATCTAAACAAAGACCTTTTCACAAGGAATATACATGTGAAGTATGAAAGCAAAAGCTTCAACCAATCAAATGTTAGGGGTAATGTGAAGTTTTTGAGGGCAAAAACCATGTACCCCGAATCTTTAATTACACGGGCATAACTAACAACTTCACGCTCTTTAAAAAGAATAATTAAGATTATATGAAAGTAAACTATAATGTATATTTCAGTTGTGAGGTCCTTCCATTTAATTATAACGTAAATGTAATTTAGTTTTTAAAAAAATATATATATCTTGAATATTTTCTTTTGAAGTAGCCTCTCTTTGAAATTTGGCCAAAGTTTATTTTTAAAAAGGCATATATAGAGTTTTCTGTGAAATGCAATCTGACTTGGATGATATGATTTGCATGGAAAATTGTGTATCGTGTCATTCCATTCCAAAGCCATCTTCTTTTTTTAAATTCTTTTAAAGAAGAAGCACAGCATAGTAGTTTTGACGAATGCCATCCGCAGACTGCAAAAAGAACGCCTCATTTCGTACCATTGGCTTTAAATTGATTTCTCTAAGTATTCTGCGATCTACTATTTGGTTGTCCTTTTCAGATTCTTGCTTAAAGCAATAAGAGCTGCATGTTTGACATCGGGAAAAAATATTTCAAATTTGTAATTAACTACTTAATACTAAGTATTTCAATGACAGGAAAATAGAACATTTATTACCGTCTTCCTTGGAAGACGGTATTGTATAGTTGAAGTTTTTTTACAGTCTTCGGACTATGCATTTCCTCTCTTTTGTGATTGGTAGAAAATGCATGATGAGAAAATTTTCAATTATTTCATTGGTTGAAATGCTGTTCAAGGCAAGGGAGATAACTTTCTGATGATCTAATTTTCGTACGACTTAACAATTTTGCAAGATTTTAATTTCAATCTTAAAAAAAAATGACAAAACGAACAACAAAATCAGCAGTAATTAATTCCTAATACATGTAACATGATTTTTTGTACAGCAAAAAATAAAAAGATCTCTTTAACTTCATTATAAATAAAATTTGATTTTTATTGCTTGCAGGCTTTACAATTTGTTATTATTCTTTTCCCCTTTCTTGTTTGAAGAAGGAAATGGAATCAGCCGAGGTTTGCCGAAAGCTCTCGGCGAGTCAAAGTTTACGGAGATGACCGAGCGACAACCGTGGTAGGGCTAATGCCAGTAAAAAGCTAATGTAGAAATACAAAATCAAGAAATTCAAAAGAATTATACGGCCTGATAGGTGTAGATCAGTTTACAGTTTAAGATTGTTGCTAAAGACAGGAAGCTTTTTTAAAAAGCTCTACTTGTAAATTTCTGTTGTTCATATTGTTATGGAAGAACTTTTTATAAGTTTTGATTGAAGCAAAATTGAATTATTGTCATCCTGTACAATAATGATTTCCTTTATCGAAATGTATATTCAGTTGTACAGAAATATTTCTTCTGAAACATTTTTACACTTTATTTTGGTTTTATTGATCATAAGGGTTTAGATTACATACAGATTAATCATAATAACACATTTTACCAGCAAAATAAAATTTTGAAAAATGCAGCTTATATTGCTTTAATTTCCCTTTGTTGTTAATATATAAGCTATTATATTTTTAACTTAGAAGCAAAGATAGTTTTCACCTCCTTCTCTTATACAGACCTTTAATCAACGTTGAACATAATCTTGTGAAATAAAAATGATATAATATAGCCTTGATTGTGGACACTTTTTATGTGTGTGGGATTCTTAATTAGTTCATGCACCTGTACATCATAGATTTTGTTGTCCTTTAATTCAAACTTGTCCATTATCAAGGTCACATCAGGTGCAATATATCTCAAGCCATCAGGAGCACATATGTTGCTGTATCAACATATACTGACATCTAGTTTCAGCCAACCTATTTCTTATATAAAACAATTAACCAATTTCCCCTTTTAATTCCTGATTCAGACCTGGCCTATCTATATAACAGGAATACCTCTGCTTTGCCATTTAAAAATCTTGTCTTCTAATCTAGAATGGAATACATTTTTTTTTTTGGACAACTCATCTAAAGGCCTAACAATTACAATGAAATACGTTCGTCAGCCATTAACTTAATTATAGATTGCAATTGCTATTTAAAAGGTCATTGTATCGACCATACATATAGATCTTTTGAAATTATTACTTTAAACGAGACTGTTGTTATACTCGTTTCATAAACTTTTGTCAATAACGTAACAATGTAGTAATAATGTAACATTTAATGTCAAAAAATTGTCCTCAGTATTTTTCAGATTTTTAGACTAAACTCGGATTCTTATTTTCAAAAATAAAGTCAACAGCTAACACTAACCTTCGATTGAAGAATTAGTGTCCTTGACAAACATGTCCTCTGATGAACTTCCTGGTGCCATTTCACGTGCAATTATTGTATATGCTGTTTTGGTTTTCCTTGAAAATGTCAAAAACATCAAATTATAAAACAAAACAATTTATGAGTATTTTATTGTTATCATTTCGATTCCTATTTGATTTCTGTGAAGGAAAACTCAATTCATCTCATAGTCTCGTTTTTAGCAAATATGTTATTGTTTTGTTCGTATCAAATTTCTTGAAAAGGAATAAAAAATCAGAAACTTTGGAAAATCTGTGCGAAGAACATTGTCAGTAGAGAAAATAGCATGAAATATAGAGATGTCTGAACTGAAAATTTGACAATTTTACGAACAGGCAAATTTTGAATAGCTAACCTGTTATATACAGTCATAAAATGGCCTCCCCCGATACCACAGCTATGTATGTTATCAACACACTGACAAAGAAGAGTGGCGATAGCAGCATCTACCACGGACCCTTGTTGTCGACCCATTAAATCTCTGCAATAAAGCAGTTGTTATCACATTAGTACTTGTGAAATAATATTTTTTAAACATGTAATTTTAAAATGCTTTTGTAGGATTAACATTTTAACTTTTCATAAGTCCTTTCTGAGAACTTCAAAGAACCTTGAAGCACACTGAGAGGTATAAAATGAAATTTGCTGCATGAAAAGATTTAAAGTTCAAGCTTCATTATAAGACTTTTTAAATTAAATTATAAATAAAAGAGTTATCCTTCCTGGCTGAGGATCGGAGTACCTTAACAAATATTTAACAGAGCAAAATTAGGGACACAGAATTAAATCAAATTTTAATAATATACATATAGTAACTTTACACTATAACCTCTCATAAATGGCACTTAAACAGAATAACATTTAATTTCAATTTGCAAAGTCTGATATAAGATTGAAATTACCAGAAAAAAAGAGTTTGGGACAATTAATTACATGTACAAGTAAATAATTAGAACAGCTAATAAAAATTATTTACATGTAAATTTCATTATTCAACATTTCATTCTTCGCTCTTTATGACAAAGACTATGACATTGACTCAAAAGCACGATATATATCTTTGGACATCAGGCAGGGACAGACTTAGAAATGATATGGCTATCATTACCACAGTGACCTTGACCTTGAAAGGTGACATTGATCAAAAATATATCATGGCGTGCTTTAAAATAGCAAGATAACATGCTCAAATTTTAGCTTTTAAATACAATATAGACAAGAGTGACATTGAGTAAAATACAGGTTTTTGAAAGACACTGATTATATTATCTATGTTGCCATGACTAATACATGCAACACTAATGGGTCTCTTTCAACCGAAAAGGAAAGTGATATAATAAATAAATCTAAAGTAATTAATTAGAGGCACTTATTAAAACCAGAAAGAATGCCAGTTCTGTTTAAAGCTCTTACCCTTATATACATGTACAAAGACGTTGTAAAACTTACACTCCTACTCTTGCACAGGTTGCAGAATCTGATGATATTGCTGCATATCTGTAGTTGCCTTCTATAGATGGAAAAAATGCTGGGCGCTCTATATATATTAGCATGCAACCGATGCCAAGTCCAATGACGACGATACAGGACATGGCCAGCAGCGAGTCAATGTGAGCTGATTTCCTTTTCAATATTCCTCCAAACCTGTTGTACGTACAATTCAAGATATTAAGGTGTATAACATGGAATCCCCTTTAATGTTGCTTGATATATTTGTGCTGGTTAAAACTGGTATTTTTTTTAATAAAGTGCAAAGAATATTGTCAGCTAACATTCTTAAATTCATAAGTATCCCCATCCCTTCCTAAAAAATACTGAGAAAATTTGCAAAGATTTAAATAGAACTCTTTATGATTTAAATCACACCTTAAAACATAATAGATAACTTATTGCATGGATTCTTATTTAAAAGGGATCAGGTGTGAATCACCCCATTATAAAATATTTTGAAGATTCATGTATAAAAGAACACTTTAATGAATTAGGTACTATGAAAAGGGGATCTAGAAAACAGAACAGTTTGTCATGGTATATATTTTTTTTTCAAGATCCGACTCCTTTCAAAAGTCGTGAAACATCAAAGTAATCAAGCAAAATAGCAATGCAAGATGTGCACGTGATAACAAAATTATGAAATCACAACAGGAAAATGTGCATCATATGCAGTTTTAAAGGATATACGTACATGTACATTTTGTAAAGTGTAATATAAAGATAATGAAAAAACTTAAGCACAAAAGTCCGTTGAAATAATACAGTTCGGGGGCAGAACGAACACAGACCTCTAAAACAGAAGTGGTGGGATCAGGTGCTCTCCCGTGGACTTTTACGAGAAGCACTGACTTTTACAGTTGACTGTTTACTTGGACATTTAAACATTTACATCTACGGAGGTACAGACCTTTCTACAGGTGCTAGCGCCATGTTCTAGTTGTCTTGATCGGGCAAATTGACAAAGCCGAAGACAATTCATTGTGTAAACAGTGGCCTAATACCGTATAAGCATAATTTTAGCGTTGAATTAATTTTGGCATTATTAGCAAGTGTGTTGAGATTGCTAAAATTAAATATTGCTAAAAATTAATTGTGTTGTATTTGTGATGGCTTCTTTAGTGAGCTTTTGAATATCGCTAAAATTACTTCTCGCTAAAAATAAATTACCCATTTTTAAGGAGAAATCGCTAAATTTGGGTCTCGCTAAAATTTCCACTTATACGGTACTTCGTAAAAAAAAAAACGTATGTTAGCATCCGACATCTTCATTGTGTAAACAGTCAAGAGTTTCCTAATACCGTCCACATAAACCCTTGAATTTTTGACGGGGTTTACTGTCACGCCATCTAGTGAGACATTACATTTTGAACTCTGCTGACCTTGCTATTGGCCAAAATTAAATATTGCAGAAAAATTAAGTTGTAATAAATTCGATATAATTCAACTAAAAATCTGGTCAAACCTTTAACTGGGCTTTTGATAATGACGTTATCCTTGGGACTAAAATTACTTGTTTTTCTGTTTACAATTTAAAAAATAAAACAATGATTTTGATTGGTTCATTTTTATGAGGCCAAAACGCTAAATTTCCCCGTCAAAATTTCCAAGGGTTTATGTGGAGCGGTACTTCGTTAAAAAAAAACGTAAGTGAGACATTGTATCTTCTCTATTTGCAGATTATCACATAATATGTAAGGGAAGTTGACGATAGATAAGTTACAGTCCTTACATTTGAATGCATATCAGCGGGGTTACCATAACTTTTTTTCCCCAGTTGATTAATCACTTATGAAATGTATGTGCCAGACTCTGTAGTATCTTTAAATATTAATTCAAAGGGAAATATTTCGAATCAACATGAACAAAGAGCTATACTTCTTAATTGATCATGATTGGGGGATTGTGAGGTTACTCGTACATATGTACCATAAATGTGTTTATTCTAGTTGATTAAACACTTATAAAACATATTTGCCAGACTCTGTAGAATCTATAAATATTTTAGTTCAAAGGGATGTACATATATATATAACATCGAATCAACATGAACAACCGGTACTATAATTATTAATGGATAAAACTTAGTAGATTTCTTTAAATGATTAATTTAAGGCCAGTGCAAGATACTTCCTCCTTTCATAAGGCCTAAAGCACATGATTTTGCTTTCTTTGCTCTTTTCTTTGCTGCTTTTTTTGTTGTGTATATATTAAAGAATCATTTTTGTATAGCTTTTGGGAAAATTTTTATGCTGTATTTTATTTTGTGAAGTATGTAACAGGGGAGATCACTTTGTCATATTTATGCAGGGATTTTTATAAAAGCAACTTGTACTGTCAGTTTTTTTTCTGGATCTTTCCTTAGTGTGAGTTTTGTTTTCCTTACTGTGGAGTATATAGAATTAATATTTGACTTACTGTCATCTAATATGGGACAATTTTTCACAAAACACCTGTGTTGTGTTATGATTGGATGGCTGGGCTGTATGATAAAGGACTTTGCCAGATCATCAACATTACATTAATACAATGTTTTTACATCCTTTGTCAGCTGGAACGGGTCGTGTAATCTATCGTTCTTTTTTCTCTCTAAATTATTGAAGACAAAAGGAATAATGGTTTTCATGTTGCCACTTAATCATTTAATGCGATATTTCAATATCTGACTGAGACTTTTAATCCATTCTGATTAAATGTCAAGATATTCTTTCCCGAGTTTGGCTTATAGCTTTCGCAGAATTTGTAACAATTATAGAATTATGAGGCCAGTCAAAGGACCAAAAATTTGAATCACTGATTGTATATTATTTAACGTCCCTCTCGAGAATTTTTCACTCATGTGATTCAAGATCCTCATTATTAGTAATATTTAGATCACCAGATATTCAGGAAGACTATCATTACAGGGTGAAGAAGTATATGAAAACCCATGAAGATTAAGTCTCCGGTGTACAATATTTGTAGGAACTAAAAAAAATGTAATTAAAAACTGTGAAAGCAGTAGGCCAATTATTTAGCCGGCGAATTCATTTCCTAGTAAAATATGTTGTGCATCGTCAAACATTCTGAAACATTCTGAAGAAAGATGTTATCGAACAGCGACGATTAAACAAGATGCTTAGTAGTCAAAAATGTACGTAAATGTTTATTTTCATGATGTATCTCATTTAAGGGCTGTCCTAATTTTATCAGCATTATCATCTTTCGCTTTCATCCTCAGTATTAATTTTCAATTTATTCTATGGCCTGAATTTACGAGGGTTGTCCGTAAAGTTCGTGGACAAGCTCAAATTTAAATAAAAACGGTGTCATTGATATTTATTATTAGCGTATATATAATCGTTTACTAAATATGAATTACAAATGTAAAATTATATACAATTTTGAATATATAATTACAATTATGGCTTTATTATTAGACTTGGGGTGATGACCCGGAGCACCGCAAAATTTCAATTAAAAAATTATTTATCACTTTATAAATTTCATTTGTATTTTGAAAATTCCGCGGAAATTCTGATTACTCATGAGGTTGGCAAAAGTTATAAGGTCAAGCCTGCGAAATTTGAACGCTCGGAGTTTAGAAATTGCTTAGAAATCGAGGTTAGAATCTATTGAGACAGGTTCGAAAAAGGGACGTTTTCGGAAAAGGTGGAGCAGAGAGCAGTGATAAAATTCTGCGTAGACTTCGGAAAAACAACAAAAGAGACCCATAAATACTGTAAACAATCGGGAAAATACAGTAAAGGAAGCCGTTCTTTAGAATTTATGTGGAATATAAAATTTTTGGGCGGTAGGGACAGCTTACAGGATGACATGCGAGAAGAAAGAGCATCATTCCGAGATTGCAGTGCTGTAAAAATGAATTTCGTAACGTGACTTTGCCTTATTTCTGTAAATAAAATCGCTTAACGCGGACAAAGGATTGATGATTTGCAGGATCTGAGACAGTAAGTGTTAAATATCATTTTCATATGAAATCTAAACAGTTTGTACACATTTTTGATGACTGTTAAAAGCGACATAAGAAATGCATTGAGTTAAAGGATGACTGTGTTAAGAAAAGTTACATGCATTATTACTGGTAAGCTTTTCACGTCGGGAAACCAAGCATTTTCATTTTAGTGCTCCGGGTATGAGTGTGTGTCTTTTTTGTATCTGATTTATTATAACTATTTGTGTTTTGATTTTGTTTAAAATTTGCATATGTACACCAAGTTTTATGATAAACGAGATAATTTTAACTTTTCAGTCGTCATCTTCCATTACCTATGCAGCAATATACCTTGCATACTGGGTTTATATACTGTAAACGTGGTTATATTGACGAGTTGAAAAATTGACGATTTATAGTTTACAAATATTGACGAGTGTTAAATTTGACGAAATATTTAATCAAGAGTTATGTATCTTTAAATTCACGGGGATACAAAGGCAGCGTCGGAATCACTAAATTTAATTTTTGTACAGACCATCTTCAGTGTGTAAGAAATTACAAACTTCTAAGTTTGTAGGATTTGATTAAATAAATTGCCCTCTTGTTATTTGTTTTCATTATAAGCGGTCAATTGCCTGAGGTGACAAACTAGGTCAAGCACGGCGTGATAATTACGCTAAGTTATGCATGCAATATTTGATACACTAGTTTAGATTCAATGGTTTAATAAATGTGATTATATCACTGTGCTTTCATAACTAATTACAAAAGAAAATAACAGTAACTTTGATTTAGTGTTAATTGGGGAAACCCGAGAAAATTAAGCGGTAAAGTTGTACAAATTGGTCGTCTGTTGTGACGCTGATGTGAAGTTTGACGAGTGTAAATTTTGACGAGAAAAGAAAAATCGTCAATATAGTCAAAATTAGCACATCGTCAAAATTTCCACGTTTACAGTATTACAGTTGATTCGATACGCAAGAGCATGCTCCACGTATGAAAACTTTTTATAACGAGGGAATATTTTGACAAACAAGTTGCTGAAACAAGAGCAGTCTCGTTTGAAGTCATCATTTCGTAAGTTCTAAGGTTGATGCAATGACCTCGACAGATTTTTTCGTTATTTTGACAACGACCACATGGCGGGTGTGACCGGTCGGCAGGGGGTGCTCACTCCTACATGGCAGCTGTTCCCGCCACTGATATTTTGGATGTCCGTGTTTTTGCTGCTCGTTTTTGTATTGTATAATGGATTTTTGAGATTGAATACTCGTACTGTTCGTTATCTCCGTATATTTAATTTTATTTCATGCATGTTTTTGATAAAGCCAAAGTCATACTACATATCTGAGTTGAATACTTCAACGAAATTTGACAAATTATCAATTGCAAAGGTTAGGTATTTTGTACACGTTAACTTATTTGAATTTGTAACAAATATTTTAACCTCTTCTATATCTCTTCAATTTTCAATACTTGAACCGTCCTCCTTCACTTAAATTTTACCATAGCTAACTATACATATTATTACAGTTAAATACATGTAAAATAAACACTTCGATACTATATTCCTACTAGGACTTTTCTGATTAAGGGCCTTAACGTCTTTTATCAGACTTATTACGAAAATTTTTATAGAATCAAAATATGAATTTACAAGTTATTATTCCATTGGATATATAAAAAATTAATGTATGACCTAGATATAAAATTTATCAATTTGATACCTTTTTTTTTAAATTCGAATTACTATTACAGGAAATAAATTGATATAGTGTAATTTTAGCAAAATTTTCGATAATAATAGCTTGTAGCTTATCAGAGTAATTTTAGTTTAAATTTTTTAAAAAGACCATTTATTTAAAAAAAAAAAACCTCTCACCTTACTTTCTCCATTATTGATAATTGCAACAATTCCACTTTTTTGTTAAAATTTGATGTTTATACACATAAATTCACAATTATACAACTATCATTCAGAGCAACTATTCCGAAG